ATATATATATATATATATATATATATATATATATATATATATATATATATATATATATATATATATATATATATATATATATATATATATATATATATATATATATATATATATATATGATTATTCTATATGTACTTTACATTTGTTACTCTAACACTTTAAAAAACTAGAGTTCATTCTTGCTTTTGAGCCTACCATTGCCAAATCTGTATGAAAAAAATTGAAAAAATATTAACATTTGGCAGGAAGAATAGGTTTATTGTATTGCAAATGATGACTTGCATGGAGATTAAAGGCATTAAAAGTGTGTTTTGCTTTCAGGCAGGATATTTGTAGAGCTCATGACAAATGTGATACTTTAGGTAAGCTTAATCTCCTTTTTTTACTCTTTAAGATGATAATATTTTTAACAGCATGTTGTGTGTCTTTATAACAGGTTCTTTTTTTATTTTTATTTTTTTTATTTGCCAGGTTTGGCCGAATTGGGTACAGTCTGTGATCCATACCGAAGTTGTTCAATTAGTGAAGACAGTGGACTAAGTACTGCTTTTACAATTGCACATGAACTTGGCCACGTGTATGTGCTATCATTTTATATCAACTTTAAAAACCTACAGTATACAGTATTGGGTAATATGTTTTAAAAGCCAGTGCAGGTAGTTCTCAACTTTATGACCACAGTTGAGCCCAAAATTTCTGTTGCTAAGTGAGACAGTTGCTAAGTGAGTTTTCCCCCATTTTATGACCTTTCTTGCTACAGTTCTTAAGTGAATTGTGTATGATTTTCTCCTAGATAGTTTGTTGATTAGGGTATTGCTCTCTGCTTGATAGTTTGTCTGGTGTTAATCCCTGCTTATCTGTTGTGTGTTGGCTGCTGGAGAGGATGTATTCTGGTCTTTTTGTTTCCTTCTTAATTTTTTTATTGTCTCTTTTGAGTGGTGCATAAATGCGGTTAATAAATATATCTCTTGTTGGCTGATTTGTCTGAATGCCAAGCGTTCAGAAATTCCCTAATATTTTGGGATTTAGCTTGGTTTAGGATGCTCACCGGCACCCTAATCAAGGAATGCCTGTGGCCTTCCGAGTGCGCTTCAAGGTGTTGATTATCATCTTTAAAGCGCACCATGGCATTGGACCTGGTTACCTCCGAGACCACCTTCTGCCACAGATTACCTCCCACCGGCCGATACGCTCCCACAGAGAGGCCCTCCTCAGGGTGCCGTCAACCAGACAGTGTCGGCTGGCGACCCCCAGGGGGAGAGCCTTCTCTGTCGGAGCACCCACCCTCTGGAACGAGCTGCCCCCAGAGATCCGGGTGATTCCGGATCTCCCCTCCTTCCGCCGCGCCCTCAAG